AATATACAGTATTATCAATAGATTAAATCAATAAATCAATAAATTAAAGATATGATTATTAAATTACAGATATAAATATTTACCGTGATAAATAGCGGTCTAGGATTATTCATTTTTCTATTCGGTGTATCAGTTACATTGCATGACCTTTCACCAATATTTTCGAAATCAGTCCATTCAGAATCTTTAATTGTAGATTCCTGTTTGTGATGACGACGATATACAGCATTCTTGGAAGATTCAGCACCAAGACGTTTAGATACTTCCTCAGCGACTAATTTATCAATCTTTGATTTATTCTCTTTCTGCCAACGACAAAATTCATCTTTTATTTTTGCATTTTCTAATTTTAGATTTTCATTTTCTACTCGAAGAAGCTCAGCTTCATCATCCTTGGGATCTTTCAAACAAGGTTCAAGAGTAGCAATTTTTTTAAGATAATCCGAATTAGTTAAGGTTAAAATTTTATTTTCGTTTACAACATGAATAATCTCATTCTGAGCATCTACAAGCTGTTTTTTAACAGCGTCCAAGGTATTACGAGATTCTTCTTTAAAGGTTGAGAGTTGATTTAATAAATTTGAATTTTCATCTTTAAGTTTGATGATATGATCATCTTTTGAAGCAATGATAGCGGCATGATCTTCATTAAGCTTAATCACCAAAGCTTCATGTTCTTCAATAATTTTGTTATATTTTAATTTTAATTCACAAAGTTCCGAGACAACACTTTTATGCTTTGCATCAAGTTCAATGAAAGCATCAGATTGATCACAGGCAAGAGTTTTTTGATTAATTTGAAGGGCTTCAATCTCAAATTTATATTTTTTTTGAGTATTTTCAAGTTCATTCTTTGTGTCATCTAATTGAGTTACAAGTTCATGTATTTGATTGTTGAATTTATCCACATCAGAAGAATACAAGACTTGAAGGTTCTCAAGGTCACCACGGGCATCATGTAATTGAGTCATAGTTTCATTTATTTTATGATTTAAATCAACAACTTCGGAACCGTGTAAATGATGTAATTCATCGATTTCACCACGGGAAGAATTTAGTTGAGAGACCATTTCAACAATTTTACTTTGCAATTTTTCTTCTTGATCGGAATGAAAGATTTGTTCACTTTGTAATTGATCTTGAGTATACTCAAGTAATTGAGTCAATTCTTGAACTTGTTGTTTTAATTCATCTACTTGATCGGAAACAGGATTTTGAGACTTTATAGAATTTAAATTATCCTCAAGTTGACGAATTTTGTTTTCATATAATTGAAGTTTTTCATCATATTCGGATTGTATAAAAGCAGCATGTTCGAGTTGCCTTGTAAAATCAGCAGTAAGAGCGGCCTTCTCAGGTTCGCACTTTTCCAAATGAGCCTGAAATTTTGCTTGAGTATCTTCAATTTTGCGGATAAGGAAGGATTTATCTTCAAATAATGTCTTTAATAAAAGACGTTATC